AGGCAGCTAGTCATCACCACATCATGACTCGTAATCTGAGAGTCGTGGGTTCGAATCCCCGTCCCACCAAACATGCTCACCCTATAAGCCGTGTAGGCGTTATAAAGTTATGGTCAATCCCACTATTCGTTGGTAAAAGAATAGTGCAAGAGTTGGTGGTGAGTGGTAATGACTAGCTGCTCTCCCTTTAACCTTTCACTGCTAAATTAGGAATGGCTAGAGCAGACAGCCCTTGTGCAGCTTTGTGCGAAATTCAAAAACAAACAAACTTGAGTATATAATGGGGAGGTGGTTTCTTTTTTAGATAGTAACAACTTATGTTCCTAGTTATACATTTTTTGTCTTTTTTCAAGCCTGATACATTTTCACGCGTTTTTATTGTTAGTGATAACAGTCTCTAATTCTAGTTAGTTATTCTTATCAGGAGACATTAATATTAGGTCTATTTTATTTTAATACTACATTCTTTATACAGTTCCTTAGAGTTTTTGAAGAAGAAGAAGAGAAACGGCAATGAACATGACAGACATAATGTGGTTGAAATACTATTATATGAATTAGCTCTGTATTGAACAGAACGTGTCTTAACATGACAGACATAGTGTGGTTGAAATACTATTATATGTACTCTTCTTCTTCCCATTGTCGAAGACACATTCTGTTCAATACAGAGCTAATTAGGTCGGCTAGGGTCAAAACAAACACAGTAGTGGTTGGAACATTATTTATGTAAGCCATTTGTTACAATAACAAGTGTTACGGTGTAAACGCCTTTTCTAAACTCAGCTCTGTAACTTAATTACATTAAACTGAAGTAAAAGGATGAATTATAATACAGAAAACCACAGTGGTTAAGATAGACATTGGGAGGCGGAGGTAAACACACATTACCTTGACCTAATTTCGACACGTATTGAGAGCATTGACCCTAATATATATCTCACTTAGACGTCATCAACACGTGCTACTATGTACAAGTTGCTAGGTGGATAATAGGATTACGTCATCTACTCTCCAGCGATGTGAAAATGTATAAGTGTGATGGGCTTGTGAGCAGCCCGTGGGCTTAGTCGTTGGGTTCAACTATTCACTCATTACAAAGTAATTTATTTGGATTTTGGGTCTTGCTGTCGCGAGCAGAGTGTACAACCGACTAACATGAGGGAGTTTACATGGGAAATAAAGAACTCAAACAGAGACAACTGAAAACAATCAAGTAACTTCTGTAATTTACACAGTTGAATGGTTTATTGATATCGAAACTCTCAAAGCTGTTTTGTAATAATACTACTTCTAAATCATTGAAATATTCATCTTGAAAGTCTAGATGTTCGTTAATAAGCCATTCTATTACATTCAATAACATAGATACAACACGAGAAATTCTATTGGTCATAATCATTTTAACTGTATAAACAATTCTTCTAAGATATATTTAAGTAATTCCACTTTGAGCATTTTCAAGTCTACTATTTTCTTTAGTACAGTTAATTTTCTTCCCTTTTCTCTCTTTATACAATATACATTATTGAACCTAAAGTGAAACACTGTTAGACTAGATCAGAAATAGCAAATACTTATGAGGAGTTTGTTTGGCAAACTTCTTGTAGATTCTGGATTACTGTCATCTTCTTCTGGAATCGAATCAGGTCCTTGGAACAACTTGATAAGTGTAAAGACGTAGAAGAAGTGCCGTTTAGAGTCGAAAACATGGAATTATATACACAATTTTTAGTGTTTTTCTGATTGTTCAAAAATTTTAGCAGATCTACTTTAAAAACTAGCTCTTTTAACTTGATCAGTATAAGTGTGATCTTCCAGCAACAAGTGGACTATTCCATCAGACTGTAACCAAAATCCACTTTGTTATTGGTCTCTATTGAACATATTTATGTCCCTTATCTAATATCTTTGGCAAAATCATCCAAGACAATTAACTTTGGACATATATAGAAAACTCCTGTAATGCAGGGTTCTTCACTAAGATTATTTCACTGGTCTTTCATCATATTTCATTGACTTTTTTTTTTCAGTGTGTGTGTGTGACACTGATTCATTTTGTAGTGCATTTTATCGAACTATTGTAGTTTTCTCAATGTATCACGTATGTCTGGCACAAGCTGTAAATTCTTGCCCTCTAAGATCACATTTTGTGCTTGTTATAGTTTTCATGCCATAACTTTTAAATTAGTAAGCGAATGTTAACGACATTTGGCAGTTTATCAGTAAACATTACAATGCTTTCATACGCAAGATATCTATTTTTTTATTAAGTTTTAAGGTTTGTAAATCAATGTTTTTCTTATGCCTTTTTTCTTTTCACATGTTTTCTATCTATCATGCAAAGTAATTTTCATTTTAAGATTAAAAATCATTTTATGCATCGGAAAATTTTCAAATTTCACAGGCGAAAACTTTATAATGTCCAGATAGTTATCAAATATTTGCCAAGAAAAAATGTTATATTTCATCTGTTATTTTCAGTAATTAATATCTGTAGGGGTTCGGTAAATCTGACTGATCTAGCAACCACCATAAAAAATTAGGAAATAAACATAAGTTATGCCTCTTTCATTCTAGAATGAACATAAATTATAACACGAAAACATAAATGTTTAGACGAAATAGCTTAAATTTCATAACATTATACTAACATTCTGGCAAACAATACAGAAGTTACAACGACGCGTTTTGGCTGTGTTTTAGTCGACTAGTATTTTGTAAAATACAGTCACAGTTTAATTATTATACATTATATATATATATATAGATTATTGCTATTTTGAAATAAGTTCTTAAAGTTATTTTTCTTAAAACATAGAACAGTAAATAAAGAAGTAAAGCAAACAATTATCTCTTTTAGTTGCGAACTCTGTACTCGGTTGCTGCTTGACGTAGTTTGCTAAGCCTTTAAGTTTTATATATACTTTTGAATAACTAAAAAACATAAATACCATGAAATTCTACTATAATTTATCAAGCTTACTAACTAAGCTGTATTTGGGTCTAAAAAAAATAGGAGACTAAAGACACAACTTACCTTATTGAAATCTTGATTCAAAAGCAAAAATGGTGCTAGCCACGTTAGAAAGGCTTAGAAAACCACTAGGGTGATATTCTGAGCTTCCAATTGGTTATTCATGGCATATATATATATATATAGAAGTAAGTGTATATAAGAGAGCTATTTCCAAAAATTTCCATTTCTTATTTTATATTCTAGCTTGTCAATATCTGTTAATTTGAGTTTATAATTCGTATGAAACTATAGACTTAGTATTTTG